TATCCCACATGAACCTTAGGCTTTCTTCATTTTGTTTTGATTTTTTTCTGATTGATCCTTTTTTCCAAAGAAGTATTCAGGTATTTGTATTCAATCATTAATTCTGTCTTCCATTGCATCAGTTCTACTCCTTTGCCCTTTCAATGTGTTATCTATTTCTGACAACTTAGTATTAATCTTCTGGATTTCTATCTGTACGTTTTGAATTATTTCTAATTTTTCATTTATTTTGTCATTTTGTTCTTACATTTTCTTCCAAATTTTTTCTAGGGTTTTGTCTGTGTTTTCCTTCATCTGTCTCTCAATCCTTTGAATATACCTAAATATAATTCTTTTGAATTCCTTATCAAGGAGTTCCAACGTGGCTTCTTCTTCAGGGATGTGTTCTGGGTGTGTATCCTGTTCCCTTGTTTCTACCACTTTATCTTGCTTCTTTGGGTGGACTGTGATTGTCTGTTGTCTCCGAGACATTGTAACATTGTTGTATTCAGATCTCTGTTAACTGTTTGTGAAGAGCAGCTAAGGGTGAGTCAGGCTCTTCTTGGCAGTTATCGTTGGCCTGTTGGTGGAGAAGGAAGTGGTGGCTCTCACTGAGTAAATGAGGCTGCAGGAGGTGTGGATGTAGTTGTGTCGTATGGGGACTGTTGCTGTATCCCACTCAGTTAGACAAAAATAACAATTGAATAACCATCAAAAAATAAAAGCAAATGAACAAAAAACACACCGTGTAATCACACAGGAACAGTAACCAAAAAAAAGGAAAAAAAAAGGGGGGGGGGCGAGAGCAATAAGAGAAAAAAGATAGAGAAGGAGAATAATGAAGAAAAAAATGGAAATAACGCAAAAAGAGAAACAAGGAATGGGGTTAACCATGAGAAAGAAAAAAAATTGCAACCAGGAACAGGGAAAAGAAAAAAGCTGAAAACTAGAATCTTGGAAGGGAAGAAGAAAGAACAATAATAAAAAGGACAAAAGTAATAATGATAATGTTCTTGTTGTTGTTATGTGCCATTGAGTCAGATCTGACTCACAGCAACCCCTTCTTGAGTTTCCAAGGCAGTATCACTATGGAAGTAGATTGCCCAACCCTCCTTCCGAGGAGTGGCTCATGGGTTTGAAACGCCACCCTTCTTGTTAGTAGTCAAGTGCCTTAGGCACTACGCTACCAGAGCTCCTTCCAATAATGATAATAGTACTTTCAAAACAGACAAAACAAAACAAACTAAAAAAAAAGAAAAAAAATGGGGCAGGGCACCCAGGCTCTGTCCGAGCACACAGACTGGGATGGGATTCCTGCTGGCTGAGAAGGTGGGTGGGAGTGAGGAATGGCTGCACCCCTGTTCACCAAGAGGGTGTGGGATATAAGAGTAACAACAGGAATGTCGCACCTTTCTGGTCATCCGCATCCACAATGTCCTTGTGGTTCCTGGCAAGTGAAGCCTGTTCTTAAGTCCCTGGAATCTGGCAGAACACTGTCACTTTATATATCCAAAATGGTCAAACAACTTGTAAACATTCAAATTGGCTGTGCCCTCCGGACAGGCAAAAGTCCACAGCTCAGCCTGCCTTCCTCTTCGCTGCTTCCCCTTTTATTCACCAGCCACCAGAGCAGTCCTCCGTGCAGTCTCTTGCTAGCATGGCTGATTTGTAGGTTAATTATTAGGTCCTAATACCATATCCAAGCTGTCTGTGCCATCAGGATCGCTCCCAGACCACAGCTCTGTATGCCTCCTTTTTTGGTGCTTTCATGAAAATTCTTCTGCTCGTTGGAGTTTAGTCCACTTCTATATCCTTCCCTTCAAAACTCAGGGGTCCAGGATTATCTTCTGTATCTGTGTTAATTGGTTCCCCTTTTCTTTGTTGAAGAGGGTCTATACAGACTTTCTGCCTATTCCGCCATCTTACCCAAACTCCTCCATACTTACTACTTTTCAGATGACAAAACAGAGGGCTTTGCAGTGGGGAGACCCAGGCCAATCTCTCAAGCCTCTGTGGGCCTCCTGGTCATGATCCACATGGTATCACTGAGGGCCTATGAGTTTTTCCCCTCACAACAGGGACAGAAGGGAATACTTGTACACTGAGAGTAGCCCTGCTCTGGACACGCACACTGGTAGCTCCCTGGCACACTGAGGCAGCAGAAGGTACAGAGGTTACAGGCACCCTGTGCACTGGGACTAAGTGCATACACAGGTACAGTGCTCTCCAATTTAGTCCATGCCAGGCCATTCCACCCTACCCTACCCTGTCCTGTAGTCTAAGGTATAAAAAGACGACAAGGTGCTGCTGAGATACACTAGATTGATTTCAGAACTCATTCATGAATCAGCCATGAGCCTGCACTGACTGGTCTGATTCTACCCTCTGCTGGGTACTGACAATAGCACCTGCCTTCATGGACCAATATGCCACCCAGGGCTGAGGCAAGACCCTGGCCTCAGCCAGACAATTACAGCCCCAGGAACACCAGCCCTCAGGTCCCCTAGCTGGGGAAGATGCAGCCTGTGGTAGGCAGGAAAAGGGCAGGGGCCTGAGTTCTGGACACTGCAGAGATGGTTCTCCCAGGGCTGCTCGGTGCCCCTCCTGTGTCTTGCCAGGCCTAATCTCAGTGGCTTCAGTTAATTCCAGTGGAATTGAACTTAGAATCCTGAACTCTCCAGCTTAGAAGGCACATTAGACATTACAGACTCTGATCCCCATTCAGGCAAGAATCTTCTCTATTTCAAATTGACCAGGTGGCTGCCCAGCCGCTGCCTGCATGTTATCCCCAGCAGTGGGGAGACTCTCCCTCCTATGATCCCTTCCCTTCCTGCACAGCTCTGATTAGATGAACATATATGGTCCAGGGACATGCCTCTATGACCCCTTCCCCACTCTCGTGGGTCTCCCCATCTTCTGGTACACAGACCATCCTTGGATAGCATCACAGTTGAGTACACCAACAAGGACCCCTGAGACTACTCTTCTCCTGCCTCCTTTAGAACTACCTATAGTATCCCTGTCCCCTTCCCAGGGCAGAGCCAGAACTGAGCCCAGGCATGGAAGACTCTCAGCTGGGATGAGCAGCAGGACTGTCACCTTCTTCATGCCAAGCAATACTTAATGTGACCACTGGTGGCCTGGTCATTTTTGTTTATGCATTTCATGTGAGAGCTTCAAGCACAGAGCTGGCCATGTAAAGTTCCCTGTGGGGAAAAGAGACCCTCACTCACCTTTGCAGGATCTCCCGTTGGCACTCATAGAGTAGCCCTGCTCTGGACATGCACACTGGTAGCTCCCTGGCACATTGAGGCAGCGGAAGGTACAGAGGATATGGGCACCCTGTGCACATTCATCGATGTCTGCCAGAGAGAAGAGCAGTGCCTCAGGAGCCCCACCCATCCACAGGCTGGCAGCCACTTACAGTTAGCCTGCTCTGTTGTAGCCACAAAGCTGAAAGGTCCACTTTACAGATGAGGGCAACAGGCTAGAGAGAGACAGGTTCCCCAGGCCATACAGCCGTAAAGGACTCCCTTCCCAGTGTTTGCCCCCTGGGCCTGCCCTGCAACTGCTGCTATCAGCTGAGGGACAACAAGTACTGGTGATGGTGATGAGGCTTAGCACTCTCACAAGAGTGACTTAATCTAACCCTCCATCCCTCTGAGGTCAGGATCATCATTCTCCTTCTACAGAGGAGGAGGAGCCTGAAGCTCAAAGTGGGGAAGTAATTTGCTAAAGCCACGCAGCCAGGAAATAGCAGGGCTAGGACTCAAACTCAGATCTGACATAAGTCTTATGTGTGTCTTGAATCTGGAACACAAGGAAGGGGTGCCCCTGGGTTCCTGGGTGAGAAGGAGTACCTCTGCAGGTGTGGCCATCCTCAGCCAGCTGATAGCCCTGGCGGCAGTAGCACTGGTAGGAGCCGTAGATGTTGGCACATTCCTGGCTGCAGCGCTGGGAATCACACTCATTCACATCTGTAGGAGATTGGCCACCATAGTATGTCTCACTCAGCATTCACCCATCAAGGATGATGATCTCTCAAGGCCCCCAAGCTCACCTCAAGCCTGGCCTTGAGAGATCATCCTTCCAGCCTCCTCTTGGGGCAGATGGGGAAAAGAGGTTCACGAAGGGCAAGGGGCCCACCCAGGGCATAAGGCTGACATAGGGACAGAACAGGGCTTGCTGATGGACTCCTGTCTGGCTGCCACAATGAAGGAGCCACAGATTGAGCTCTGCCTCCCCACGTGAGTACCCTACAAGGGTCCAGGCACTTGGCTCTGATGTCTCTCAGGGGCAAGGCACCAGGTACCAACAAGAACTTCTTTGAGGGCTGGAGCTCTTTTAGCAATGCAATCCCTGAGTCTAGCACTGCATGGGTACAAGAGCAGGCACCAGAGTATGGAATGAATGAATAAGTGTGTGAGGGAATGAGAGGGCATGCAAGTGAGAAAAGCAGTCAATGACTTAGGTGAATGTCTATTGGACTTTGAGCTCTTTGTGGGCAGGGACTTGTCTTCCTATACACTCAATGAAACTACTAAGGCCCTACAATGTGCCAGGCTTGTGCCGACCTGGGGACATAGCTGTAAACAAGATGCCAAAAGTCATTCCCTTGTGGAGTTGACATTCATGTGTGTCGTGGGGAACTAAACAAGTAAAATAGTGTTAGAAGGTGGCACATGCTGTGGAGAAAAATTAAGCAGGGAAAATAAAATCAATGAAGGGGCAGAAGTGTTTGGGTGACTGCAGTTTAAATAGGGTGATCAGGGAACGAGTCATGAAGATGGAAGATGCATGTGGATGTCTTGGGGAGGGCATTGCAGGCAGAAGACATAGTGTGAGCAAAGGCTCTGAGGTGGGAGCATGCTCGTGTGAGAGCACAGAGAGGAGGCAGGCAAGGCCAGAAGGGAGTAGTGTGCAAGGCAAAGTGAGAGAAGGTGCGTTCAGGTCATACAAGGCCTTGTAGGCTACTGTTGGACCGTCTCAATCCTCAGGATGTGGCAACATCCATGGTATTCACAAAAACTGGAAGTACTTACACTTGCTCATAACATGAATGCATGAATGAATGAATTAAAGTGGCAGACGTTTTTTAGAGTCTAATCTCATCTGACATAACCAGACCTGGTTATACTCTCCTCCTCCTGGACTGAGCCTGCCTGCAGGCAGGTGACTAGGCTCTCCTGCAGGCAGGTGACTAGGTAGGGGAAGATGGCCTCCCCAGGGGTCTCAGGGATGCCCCCAGCAGATAGCAGTTAGGAGAGACCTTCCTGTTGGGGAGAAGCTGAGAAAGACAGGGCCAGGTCAGTGGGGCCCTTCACTCACCACCTGCCCCTTCACTGATTAGCCTCAGAACCTCCTCCACACCAGTCCTTGACGGACCTGGCCCAAGTGCACAGGGGACATGTGGGGAAAGCCCTTCATGCAATCCTCCTCCATCAGCCCTGAGTCCATTTCCACATGGATGAGAACACAAACCTCAAATGTCAGTCTGTGTGTGGGTCCAGCCTGTGGACATGCTTGGCTTAGCCCATGGTGTATGTTTTTTTTTTTTTTAAAGTTTTTCACCAGCAACATGTAAAAGCCAGGATATTTCACATAAATATCTAGGTTTCTGGTGTCTCTGGAAGACCAGAGATGGGCACACAGGCCTACATTAGGATGGACTCATCTGCCCCTAGGCTCTCCAGTTGGGCTCTCTCTGGAGCTTCACTTATTTCCAGTCCCTGCCTGGACCCTGGAGACACTGCCATCTGAGACTGGAACCAGAGCCTGTTCTACTAAAGGCTGGGACAAGCCCTGAAGCTTGAGCTCATCTACTATCTCTGCCTGCAAGGAACTCCCACTGGGGGTGCTGATGACACAGAGACCCAGTCCCTTTGGTCTGTGGCAGCCAGGACTCAAGTCTGCAGTAGGGAGGCACCTAACCCACTAAGCCAGGGGCTTGGATGAATGAGAATGGGAGAAATGGTGCAGTAGGGGTACCAGGGGTCAAGGTGTGAGACCAGGCTGAGTGGGTCAGAGTTCAAGACCGATCAGTGGTACCTTCGCAGTGCTTGCCATCAGCAGCCAACTTGAAGCCTGAAGCACAGGAGCAGTGGTAGGAGCCAAGCGTGTTCTCACAGGTGTGCTGGCACAGGCGGCCCGGGGAGGCCCAACACTCATTCACATCTGCAGGCGGGCAAACAGGTGGGCAGAGTTAGAGCTCCCTTCCCCACAGGCTATCAAGGGAGCTGGGTGGAGAGAGGGACCCAGAAGGAAAGAGAGTAGAGACTGGGATAGTGGAGGAAGAGGTAAAGAGACAGGAAGGGAGAGAGAGAGGGATAGACAGAGACTGAGAGAAGAAGAGAACAGGAGATAGCCAGAATAAAGTGGTAACAGTCACCATGGGACACTGTGGGAGAGGTGGTCAAGACCACAGAAGAGTGTTGGAATACCTGGAAAGAGGTCTAGGGAAGTAGACTTGGGCAGGTGGGCATTACTCAGGCAGTAGGTGCCAGTGGTCACCCAACCTGGAGTTGGGGAGGTGGAGGGGAACAGTGGGTCTGTCCATCAGCTCCACATACCAATGCAGGCCCGGCCGAAAGCATCACGCTGGAAGCCTGCTTTACAGTCACAGTGGTAGGCGCCAGGGAGGTTGTGGCACACTTGGTTGTCACTGCAGCGGTGCATGCCTGCCTCACACTCATTCACATCTGCAGGAGAGGCAAGCTGACTCACTGAGGCCTAGGGCTCCCCCTCTGCCCACCCCTCACAGGCACTGGGAAATCCAAGCAGGCAGGGCAGGCCACAGTGGGGTGGGGACCGGCCTTACCCACACACTTGGTGCCATCCTCATTGGCGTGGTAGCCACGCCCACAGAGCAGTGGGTTTCTCTGGCACGTGTAGGAACCAACTGTGTTGATGCAGCTGAAGCCCGGCTTACAGGGCTCAGGCAGCGACGTGCACTCATTGATGTCTGCAGAGGTGAACGAAGACAATGCCACTTCCCTGCCCCAGCACCTGGGTCCAGGGCCATGTGCTGGGCAGTGAGGGCAGTCAGGCCCTGGTCAAGGCTGCTAGGCAACTGCCCCACCCTGTTTCCCCTTGATCCACGGAACTCAGCTTCCCAGAACCTTAAGCACCTACAGGAGGATTCTTACATGCATCTCATATCTGTCCCTGATGCAGACGCTAGAGTGAAATCACAGCTAAGATCTAGGATAATTACAGCACAGTATACCTTTGTTCTTCAGTCTCCAAGAGCTATCTCAACCACCCAGAACTGAACACAAACACCATACCCCAGCACACAAGGTACTGCAGACCTATCCAATCTCTTCATCTCACCTTCCCTTCTCTACTCCAGCCCCACTGGGCCACTCCCCATCTCCAATGCCCTACACAGTCCCAACACAGGACCTCTGCACATCCTGTTTCTCCTTCCATTGGCATAGACTGCCTCTCATATTTTCATGGCTGGCTCCCTCACTGCCTCTGGTCCTGGCCCAACTGTCACATGTTCAGGGAGGCCCTCACAGAGCAGGTAGGAGTCTTCTCTTTTAAGTTCTTATCTCCTACTTGGGAGTTCTGGTAGCATAGTGCCTAAGGCATTTGACTGCTAACCAGAAGGCTGGCAGTTCAAACTCACCAGGTACTCCTCAGAAGGAAGGTTGGGCAATCTACTTGCATAGTAATACCGCCTCAGAAACCCAAGGAGGGGTCGCCATGGGTCGGATCCGACTCCACCGCAGAGAGTTTAGTTTTGGTTTTTATCTCCTACTTATTTTATTAGGAGCTCTGGTTATTTATCAAAGCACTTGTGAGTAACTGCTACTTTCATTAACATGTTTGCTTAATTAATCCTCCCAGACATCTTGTTAAACTGCCGTAGCTCTCCAACATCTAGAGCCGTGGCATTTAGTAGGTGCTCAGAAATGTTAATGAGGAAATGAGGAACTGTTTGGGGTCAGGTAGCCTCCCCACCTTGCCATGACCTGGCTAGGTGCATGCTTCCAGGGCCAAGCACAGGAACCCTCACATGCCACAGTCTGGCTACAGCCTATGGAGTTTTCTGCATCCTGGGACACCAGCAGGTCAGACAGTGAGCAACATTAGAAGGGCACCTCAGGGAGAGCTTCAGCTCCGATTTGCCAGGGGGTCTACCATCAAGTCTTGAGAAACCTTCACCCTGTACCTAGGTTCCAACCTACAACAGAGGCAACATCTCAAACACAGTTATTGTGAGGAAAGCAGTGGCATGGTCTACAGTCAACACTGCCAGCCACCTAGCCCACACCTTCCTCCCCACCACTGCTGGCACCCCTGATGGTTCCTACTCAAAGTGCAGCCTGTCCTGCAGAGGGCATCAGTGATCACTTCTGCACAGCCTAGGGCCATGCTTCTAGGGAAGGCAAGACCTCTTGGCCCCTGGTCAGTGGCTTTTTGGAAGAGACTTAAGTGGGGCAGGGAGGACATGGGGCCTCAGACCACAATAGGCCATCATGTGTCAAATTGCAAGTCTTAACCCATCAGTAGCGCATGAAATCAATCTAAAGGTACTTGACGTGCAAGTTGTGAAAATAAGAAAATTTTAGTGTGTATCATATGCAATCAGGCTGTTGTCTTGTGAAATTTGTGTTCTAGGGGTGTGTGTGTGTGTACACACCAGGTCATGATATAAAATAAGTTTTGTACTATTGGTTGGGATAAAAAAATTATGAAACACACTCAAGTTCAACTCCACAAATAAACTGAAATGTAAGAGCCCCAAGAAATGCCTAACTTCTCCTCCCCATTACCCTCTCCCAGTATCCAGCTCAGGGCCCAGCACAGAGAGTCAGCCAAGGTCAGAAAGCTCATTCCCACTGCACAGAAGGGCACTGAGGCTGGGTGAGGCACAGCACAGCAGGTTATGCTGCTCCTCAAGTGCACCATCACCCTCCCAAGGATCCCACTCACCCACACAGTTGCCCTCAGGGTCCTGGAGGAACCCCTCCATGCAGCGCTGCCGAGCCTGGCAATAGAAGGAGCCCTTGGTGTTTTGGCACGTGAAGCCCGCCTGGCAGTTGTGTGTGCCCAGTGCACACTCATCCACATCTGCACACAAAGGCCAGTGTGTTAGGAGCGGCTCTCTACCCCTCCCAACCTGGTACCCTGCTCACATTACTCAACCACATCCCTGACCTCAGGCCACCGTGGTTACCAAGTTCTTCTGCACCAAGGAAATTGGGGAAGCAGTATCACCTAACTTGACACATGTCCCAGTAGTCACAATAACATAAGCACACCTATTGAGCTTTTCCTCTGCACTAGGTACTGTTCTAAGTAGTCCTCAATGTGTTTATTTAATCCTCAAAATGCTAGGAAGTAGGTACTAAGACTATGCCCATCTGACAAAGGGAAGGAGCTTTGAGTGGGATTAGAGCCCAGGCAGCCTGACCCAGACCTTGTGCTCTGCTGCCCACAATGCCCAGGGGCAGAAGAGAATGGGAACAAGTGCTTAAACCCCTGAGGTCCCTGGTTGACTGTCCTCATCCTCAGGAGGCCTGGAGCTTCCAATGACAGAGTTGCCAGACCTGGGATCAAATCACTGCTTTCACACCTGCTACGTGGTCCCAAGTGGTCTCTCAGAAAAGATGCTGGAGTATTTAGTATGTGTCAGGGGTCCATTGTTACAGAGTACCTTTACTGGAATTCTTCACTCAGGCTCATACCTATGCCACATTGTAGTTTACAAAGCATAGTCCTCATGCTGTCCCTCATGGATTCTGCACAGCAGAAGTCTTTGACAGATGAGCAAACTGAGGTACCGGGCAGGACAGCAGCACAGAGAGTAAGAGTCCCAGATTTCCTCAGCTTTGATGACTACCTGACCAACACCTGCTTGTCTGTCATCCATTTATCCATCCTCCATCCTTCTGTCTAACCCCTCTCCTGTTTTCCAAGGCGTCTACCATGTCCCCACAGAAGCCTGAACTTAGTGAGGTCCTGTGCTGTATTCCAGGCACCCAGAAATGAACCAGGCAGGCAGTGGGCTGGGCTATACCCAAGGAGTGCCCTCCTTCCCAGGTATCAGGAAGGCAACAGGAGTTTCAGAGTGCAGGCTGGCCCTGGATCTGTCGTGCACACTCAAACTAAGGGCCAGGGGCTCACCTCCCTCCCATCTCACCCCCACACCCTCAGTCCCAGCTCCCTGCCTGACCTTGAAGCCACTTCTCACACCTCAAGTTCTCCACGGCTCAGAACAATTAAGCATTTCTACAAGTCTCACCCCTTTGGCAGCATTCCTCTGAACTTTTTTAGTTTAAAAAAAATATTTTGATCACATGTGGAATAGAACCAATGAGTCTGCCAACTCATTGTTTCTTTTGACATCCACACCCACACTCTATGTCAACCTGAGACTTCCTTTCTGCCTTTGACTATGCTGATGCTGTCCCCTCACCATGCCCAATGGCCTTTGCCCTTGCTGCTCTCTCTGCCTGGAAGACCTACATCACCTCTACAATGGGATCTTCTTCCCACCACACACATAAAACAACACCTAGCCCACAGCCATGATCAACCACCATGCTGTGTGCTTGGGTACATCTCATCTCTCCCTCTGTAAGGTAAGCATCAAGTGGTTGGAGACAAGGACCACAGCACCCTGCACTGTCTACATCACCGAAGACCCTGCTAGGACATAGCAGAAGCTCAAGAGGTATCTGCTGAACTGGTTAAATAAAAATACCCCATCATTTAAAAAAAAGGGGGGGGAGACAGGTTTGCTGGTCTGATAGAGCCTGATGGAACCACTGAGACTATGGCTCCTAGCTGCCCTTCACGTCTGGAATTGAACCCACTCCTATGGCTTCCAGCCAAACAAAAGACAGGCATATGAGCTGAACATTTACATTAGATAGATCCACTCCCTGGAGAAATCAATCATGGGAGAGCAGAAGGGCTGTGTATACACAGGGAGACAACTCAGGGGGCAGGAGTACATGGGAGGGAAGGACACAGGGAAGAGGTAACTATGGGGAGGAAGTGGGAAGAGAGCTGTTGCATTGTAAGAAATTGCAGTCAATGTCATGAGACAATGTATATGTGAGCTGCCATATGGAAAAGTGAATTTGCTCCTTAAACTTTCACCCAAATCACACACACACACACAAATAACCACTCTTTTCAGAAGACCAGAATTTTCTAGTGAAAGTGAGGAAATGATATGTCCATAGGGCTTCACCCTAATGTCCAATCAGAGAAACTGAGGCACGGCAAGGGGAATAATTAATACCTAGATGCTCAGCAAGCAGTTACAAATAAAAGACCAGACACTTGCCTTTCTCCTATATTCCTCCACCTGTGCAGTCTTCCCACAAGCAGGAAACCTGAGTGCTGGCAGCTCTCAAGAGGAGACAAGGCTCTTAGCAAGTCAGGGCAGAGGCGGGGGCCTACAGCTGAGCCTCTCACCTGTGCACTCGCCATCCGTGAGGGCGTAGCCCGGCTCGCAGGTGAGGGCCTTGTAGCAGCGAAAGGAGCCCAGAGTGTTCACGCAGTGCTCGCCCCGGGTGCACGTGTGCAGAGCAGTCACACACTCATTGATGTCTGTGGGAAAGGAGGGCTGTCAGGGCTCCACACGCAGCCAGGAAGGAAAGAGAGCCAGGCCCTGCCGTCCAGAGAGTGGCACACAGCTGATGCCCACTTTTCAATCCATCCAGTCATTCAATAAATATTTATTGAGCACTTGCTAAGTGCTCTTGGCACTGAGGATAACTTGTAAACAGAAATCCCTGCCCTCATGGAGCTGACAATCAGGGGAGGAGACACAATAAACAGATAAATACGGAAGCATGTAGTTTGGAAGGTGGTCACAAACCCTATGTAAAAAAAAAAAAAAAAAAAAATGGGGCAGGATAAAGGAAATGAGAATAGCTAAGGTAGGGGTACGGGCGGTTAGGGAGGGCTCAGACAAGATGACACCATAGCAAGGATTTGAAAGATGCGCCAAGAGGTTGTTCTAGGCAGAAGGAAAAATCAGTGCAAGGGCCCTGAAGAGAGAGCCTGCCAGACATCTTCAAGGGACAGAGAGAGGATAGATATGGCTGGAGAAGAGAATTAGGAGATGAATCAGAGAGGAGAGGACTGTCTTTGACACTTAGGGCAGTGGAGCCACAGAAGGAGCTAACAAGGAGAGAAATGGTCTGACTTATCTATAGCAAGATCCCCAGCTGTAGTTGGAGAACAGTCTCCAAGAGAAAAGGTGGAGGCAGGGAGGTAGGCCTTTAAGGAGGATCAGAGTACTCCAGGCAGGAGAGGTCTGCAGCTTAGACCACCACCCGTGGAGTGGGGAGACACAATCACACCTGGAAATATTCTGAATGTGGAACCAACAGGATCCACTGATGGATGAGAGGAAGGTGTGAGAGAGGAATGTAGAAGTCTCAACAGATTTTGACCCAAGCAGCTGGACAGAGGGGGTGCTATCTGTTGGGATGGGGCAGACTGAGGGGAGCAGGCATGCAGGGCAGATCTGAGCCCTGTGGCCACATGAGTTTGAAAGGTGCCCAAATAGAGATGTTGTGAGGGGGCTGGAGACATGCATCTGAGTCCCAGAAGGTTGTGGCTAGAGATATTAATTTGTAGTGGTCAGTGTATGGGTGGTAAAAAAGGCCCAACCTGGTTGTGGTCACCTGGGGGGAGAGGGTGCACAGAGAAGAAGCAAGGACCAACTCTAGGGACATTTCTTGGGACAAGCTGCTGAGGAGGGGAGAAGCCAGCAAAGGAGAGAGGGAAGGAGCATCAAGGAGGAGAACCAGAGAGTTCACTGACTCAAAACTTGCCCAGTGTTTACGGCCCACTTCTGGTTAGCAGCTAAATACCTTATCCACTATGCCACCAAAGCTACTTAAGTGAAATATCAGAATAGGCAAATGTAGATAGATAGAAGTTAGATTAGTGCTTAACCAGGAAGAGGGAAGGGTAGAGAGTTATGGGTTAAGGGGTATAATGCTGCTGTTTGAGGTGAGAACGAGGTTATAGTAATAAATAGTGGTAATGGTTGCACACATGGGGAATATGGTTAATGCCAAATAACTGTAAATTTCAAAATGGTTAATATGGCAAATGTTATATATTTTACCACCATGAAAAAACAAGAAAAATCTCTCCCCTGGGCAAATGCTAAGGATATATGGATAATGGGCCAATTGCTGCCTCCTGAGGGGAGGAACATCGTTCACTCATTGATTCATTCATTCACTGGACACACACAGCCTTGGTCCTTGAAGGGCTCCCAGGTTCATGGCAGAGACCTGCTGAGGTGGGATAGGGGTTCCTGGGTGAAAGACACTGTCCCTGGGCATAAGGCAGAAAGCCACATCATACTCAGGGTCCTGGATGGTCAAGTCACTCCTCAGAGGCAGTAAGATTTGAGCTCTGTCCACAAGGTTAACTGGGGACCAGGTGGACCAGTTAGAGAGGGAGGAATCAGGATCGTGGGGGAAGAAGACATTCTCAAACCCTCAAGTGAACAAAATGGTACACATGGAGGCACCTGGAGGTGGTGGGGGAGGAGGGAAAGTGGTTTCCAAGGAAGGGTTGGCTGGGCAAGATGAAGCTTTCTGATGCACAGGCTGGGTTAACAAAAACACCAGGGGTCCCAGGGTCCCAAAAACACCATAGGAGGAACCAAGATGATAGATAACAGCACTGCCATTAACTAATGCTCAGGAAGGGGTGGGCAGCTCCTACTCACAGATGAGGAAATGAGGTTTCCCAGAACCAGCAAGTGGCAGCAGCAAGAATAGAACCCAGGGCACCTGGCCCAGAGTCCCCAATGGGTGTGCCTTTCCCCACCAACCAGGCACTGCTGCAGGGGTGGGCTCCAGTGCTAGGACTGCTCCCCTCCTCACCATCACACTTTCCCAGGGGCAAAGACAATCCTCAAAGTGAAGGGCACTAAAGGCAAATGGCAAAGTCCTGGGGCGTCCTCAGCAACAGTCACATATCTGTTAGAGGACCTCTAGACTCAGCCCTGCTCAACCCTGACATAGTTAAGCTTACACACCTCCAGTGATGGAAAGCTCACTCCCTCTGCAGGCTGTCTCAATATCATTTGTTGAATCATACTAATGATGTCAAACATTAGCAAGTGCTTTACATGGATTAATTCATTTAATCTTCACAACGACCCTTTGAGGTGACAACTATTTTCATCCCATTTTACAGATATGTAAACTGAAGCTCACAGTGGTTAAATGATTTGTTTAAAGTCTTACAACTAGGAAGTGACTAAGCCAGCACATGCAGTGACTTTAGCAATGCACCAGCCTCCCCACTTATAGTCTGGCTGACCAATGTCTGTGGAGTAAACACATGAACCACAGACACCAACAGATGCTTGTGTGTAAAGAAGAGTTGGAGGGTATGAGTAGCCAGTACTAATGGATGACAAGGGAATACATGAGTAAGTGGAATGGAGGTACTGGAAAATTTGCGCAGGATGAACAGAGGGATAGAACTGAGAAGATGAGACTAAGGGCTAATAAATTTTACTGAATGGAATGTACCTTTGCTCTTTGAACCCAGAACCTGTTTACCAGCTGCCCAAGGACTCCTTTCAACATGAGGCCTTCACCCAGGGAACTTGGAGTGATGGTGCCCTTGAGATGCATTAGGAGAATCCCCTCAAAAAAGGAAATACATGCTGCACAGTGGTGTCTATGTCATGGGAAGCAGACCAGCCTTCTCCGACACACAAACATACAGACAGACAATCCAAATAGGAAGAGTTCACCCAGCCCCACAAGCAGATCAAGAGGGAGCATGTTGTGCCAGCGGCTGGAGGCCAAGGGCAAACGTGTGTAGCTAGCACCATGAGCCCATCTGCCCAGTGGCAGAGGATGAGCAGGGGGCATGTTCAGGCTGGGCACAGTCCACAAGCACAGAGAAGATGCCTGGGGCCCCAACCAGCATGCCCTGAACCCACTCTGCACTGCCCCCACCTCTATACCCTTCTTAAAGCTATTCCTCTACCCTGATATTCTTCCCACTGCCCAAGTACGTCCATCCTTAGAGACTGGTGCAAATGCCACTTTCTCCAGGAAGTGTGGCCGATTACACAGCTGGAATTATTCTCCTTTTGCCTATGTCTCTGCTGTAGAATTGACCACAGTCTGCTCTGAGTCCCTGCTACTTTGGGTCTCTCTCTTTGGGATCAGGAACTCTAGGAAGACACAGGCAGGGTTTACATTTTCTCCATAAACATCAGACCCTCCCAACCATGGGGACTGGGTCCATGATCCTCATGGCCTACAGTCATCCAGCCACACAGGAATCAAGAGACGGGAGGGAGCATCCTTACTAGGGCCTGACCAAGCCAGGCCCAGGACAAAAGCCAGCACAAGCCTCATCCAGTCCTCCTGGCCCCAGCCAGCAGTATCACCCCAGGTGTGGGGAGAAAATAAGAGGCCCAGAGAGGAGAGTCAACTTCTCAAGGTCACCAAGCAAACAGATACCAAACTGGACTGTACAGCTGGGCCTGTCAGACCCCAGTTATCTGTTCATTCACCTCTGGCCCTAAATGTATCTAATGATGATCTAAGCAACTGACATAATATGCTCACCAAGTCCCAGACTCCATGCTCACTGCATAACCTCAGAACCACACCCAAAGGCTGGCCTCACTTATAGATGAGTAAGTCATTTGCCCAAGGCTACAGAGCTGCTGAGGGGCAGAGTCCTGCTTTAGGCCCCAAGTCCCACATATAGTACCCCACCACCCAACTTGCCTGACCTCCTTCATTTACTGTAGCCCAGACAGGGTCAAGGGCCTAGACAGGCCACACATCCAGCTTAGCTATCTGACTCCAGGCACATCTCTAGGGAAAGCAGCCTCCAGGAGAGCTGGGGGACAAGCGAAACAGGACACCAGGACATGGAGGGCGTGACACAGAGCGCAAGGGTGCCAGCTGTGCTGAGAGCTCATATGCAAAGGGGACAGACCCTTTAGCATGTGGCCGCAGGGTGGCATGGTTTGCATGGTGCAGAGCAGAGAGCCGTGATGGTGGGTGGCAGGCAGGGGCTCTCGCTTACCCATGCACTTCCTGTGCGCATTGAGGATAAAGCCCTCCGCACACAGCACTGTGTGGTTGACACAGTAGAAGGATCCCAGGGTGTTCACACAAAACTGCTGCCGGCTACAATCGTGAGCACCCAGCAGGCACTCGTCTTGGTCTAGTGTCAGCCACAGAAGGGAAAAACAGAAGGGCTGTTAGAAGAGCATGGCCTGCCATGGAGCATCCAGTAACAGGTAGGGAAACAGGCTAGAAAGGGCCAGGGCCCTGCCAGGGCCTCCCAGCCTATTAGTGGCAGACATGGGCCTTGGAGTCCAGTCTGAGTCTGTAGAATCAAAAAATTTCAAAGTTGCAACCCACTGCTCATACTGGGTAAGTGGTGAGAAAGAACTCAAAGAGGATGGACAACCTGCCCAAGGACACACAGCTAGACAGGACCAAAGGCAGTCCAATATCTGAACATACTCCACTTCCATGGGCAGCCAAAGGAACCACACAGTGGCAGGGGTTGCAAATTCAAGTGCATTAGAGGCCAGGCTAGCAAGAGGAAAGGAAAAAGGGGCTCTATAAGGAGCTGAAGAGTCTGGGCTCTGTCCAAAGGAAGTCCAGAATGTGAGCCCCGATAGGCAGATTTTGTAAAGTTTCAAGAGAAATCCAGAATCTGGAATTTAAAAAAAAAAAAAAAGCATTGAGCTTTTCACAGTTGGGAATGCATTTCAGTATTTTAAACATGACAGAACAAAGTAGGGCTCCTCCACAGGACAGACTGTGGCTTCAGGATGCCTATTTGCAGCCTCTGGCCTGGATACCACCATTTTTCTTACAAGGGTCCCCTCAAGGAGGAAGTGGAGGCCTAGGAAGACATGGGCCTAGGACAGCCACATAGCCAGCAGAAGCAGGGCTGTGCCAAGCCCAGGTCCCCATGCCTGGTCAGGGCTATGCCCACTGAGGCTGAGGTCTGCTACCTGGCAGAGTCTAGTGAGATGAACTCACAGCTTTACGGCAACCTTCTTATAGACAAGCCCTGGGAGACAGGGGATGAACCCCAGAGGGCACAGCCTAACCTGGACCTAAGCTCTGCTTCCACACCATCTGAGAGAAAGGGTTGCCTGGCTGCCACGGGCAAGTTTCCCACCCTCTATGAGCATGAAGAGGGTGTCTGTCCACATCAGAATGTCAGTCTCAGTCGAGGGACTAAGCAGGATATTGGCCACTGGCAAAAGGTAAAAAATTTTCCTGAAAGACTTGCCCCAGTTAGTCTTGGACTCACACCAAGGTCACGTCTCCTGGACTGACCTGAAGCTTTCCTTGGACCCTCTGTGCCTGCCCAAACCCCAGACATGAAGAGTCTGTGGGAACCACCCCTGCTGGGATGCAGGTATCAGACCCAAGGCCATACCTTAAAGCAGGGAAGTTCAAGCCCATATGCTCCATCAAGATCAGACCCAGACCCACTCCCCCAGCTCCTGGAAAGGTCATCAGGTATAAGGGGTGTGCTTGTGGACCCTATCCAGGGCCCTTGAGAGGCAGCTCGTCATTGCCAATTCCATTTTCTTCTTTGTTTTAATAAGCAACAAGCATGTGGCATCCAGCCAGAGACTCTTACCCCTCAGCCTCCCTGCCACTCCCAATCAGGGGCAAGTGGAGGTGATGAACACCACTTTGAGGTCCTGCCCCTCAAATAACTGAGCTTCCCTCCTTCTCTTTCTCTTTCACAGCTGGGACATGGATACATGGTTGCAAACCAACTCTAACCATGCAGAGAAAGATAACACTTGAGGACAGGGCTAGTCAGAGTGTGGGCTCACAGCAAAAGCATCACCTGGGGCCTTGTTAGAGATGCAGATTCCTGGGCCCTAACCCAGACCTCCTGAATTAGAATTGCTGGGGGTGGGACCCAGGACTCTGCATTCCTAACAAGGTTCCAGGTGACTCTGACATCTATCTATTAAGTCTGAGGCCACTGCTCTAGGAACTGGCAGGGCAACTAGGTGGAAGAAACCTAAATCCTGGACAGCAAATTCACTGCCCACATACCTCTGCAAGGTAACCTGGGAGGGTAGTTACTATCATCTTGTTTAAGGTGCCAGACTACTTGGGGCTCTCATCACAGAAACAAACCTGTTTCCTAACTAATACAGCAAGTGTCAGACCTCAGCCACCCCATCCTCACTCAGCCCTCAACCCAAGCCAACGCAGGCTTGTAGGCAGTGGGCAGCCCTGGGGTACTCACCTTCACAGGACACACCATCGGCCATGATGGCATAGCCAGGAAAGCAGGAGCACATGGCTGTATCCCTAATGATGCTGCACACCTGCTTGCAGGGTCCATTGTCTGAGAAGAAATTGCACAGGAATCAGAGAATGCCAGGTTGTGGTCTCACTCTGCACTGCTCATCACCCCAGCTATAGTCATTACCCCATGGGCTAGAGATAGGAACAGAGGCCCAGGGAAGTGGAGAGACTCCCTTTGACAATAAGCTGGGAAGCCCACGTGCCAGGCCTCATTCAGGCCTAGGACAAGGTTCTTGACTCCAACCATGGGGCCCTACCACTCAGATCCTAAACCTCTCCCTCTAGTTAACAATGATGGCAATGAGGAGAAGAAGAAAAAGAGAAGACAGAGGAGAAAGAGAAACCAAGTAAAGATGTGAAGAAAGAAAGAAGGAAATGGAATGAGGGTGGAAAGTAACAACAAAGAAGAATTTTCTATGCATTACTGAATGTTATCTCCCTCAGTTCCATAGCCATGGATTGTATCGTCTGAATCTTACAGTCCCTGAGATAAAGAATTGACCAGCTTGCTCAGGGTCCCGTGTCCAGGAAGGAAAAGCATGGGACTAGGACACAGATCCATCTATGCCTAGCCCCCACCACAGACAGCTCCTCACTCAACTTCAGAAAGTCTAGCCCAATCAGCACCCAAAGCAGAAACACCCTATTTTGGCAGGAGGCCATCTTGCACCCTTCTAGGCCCAAGAGTTCCCACCTGCCAGCCCCAGACCCCCTCTAACACTTCCCCTCCACTTACTTTTGCAGGTGTTGGGTTGTGGCAGAGGTAACGGGATCATGTTGGGGGCCATGGGGGACGATTGTGGCCTTGATGCGGACTCCACTGCAGCCTCTGGCTTTGGGGGGTCATGATCTATGACAGGCAGAGCAGACAGAAGAGTAGAGAAGGGGAGTTCTCGTCTTTTCACGAGGTTCAGGCATTAACCCATGGAGCCCTGCTCACACCCTAGGTACTCAACAGAGATCACTTCACTTAACCCTCCCCATTTCATGGAAGAAGAAACTGAGGTTCAGAGATGCGCCTTAGGCAATATCTCACAGCTATATGGGGCTGGGATGGGAGGAGGTCTGCATAACAACAGAAGGAAGATGGGAAGGAAGAAGAGAAGGAAGGGAAGGGGGTTTCTAGATAGATGGCAGGGAGAGAGACCTTTGGGACCAAGAGCTGGGGCAGCTCCCTGGGCTCCTATTAGGGCTGACCCCATAGGCCCAAAGCTAGGAACACAACCTGGGTTTGGTACCAAGGGCCTCTGGGGTCCTGTCCCTGAGCTTGAATCCAGGGTCAGGTCTGAGGCCTCTGTCTGCAGGGCAGACAATCCTCATAGCTAGGGCTTCAGGCTCCTGCAGTTCCACCACATGGGATAGTAGGGGGTGAAGTTCCTCACAGTCCTCCTTCCTATCTTGCTCCTGCTGTTTCTGTCCCAAAAATGCTGTGCTCAATTGGAAAAACCTGCCCCTACCTCTGCCCTTCCACAGCAGCAGATGAGGTGGGCAAGCCCTTACCTGGACGGCAGGTGCGGCCATCGTCCTGCAGTGAGAAGCCAGGGAAGCAGGCACAGCGGTAGGAGCCCACAGTATTGATGCAGAGATGCTGACATAACTCCCCAGGGAGAAGCAGGCACTCATCTTGGTCGTCACCCGGCAGGCTGTTGGGAAGCTCAGCCTCCGTGCCCAGTGACAGGGCCTCCCGGCCCCCTACCTCCGCCTCTGAAACTGGGGTGAGGTCAGTGCTCATGATGTAGGAACAGATCAGCCTAAGCAGGTAGCCAAGACCATGGACCACCCAGAAATCAGTACAGGTCCTCATCAGAACCTTCTGTGTGCCCAGAAGAGACAGCATGGGTGAGGTTAGTGGAATGGATGGATGGATAGATGGGTGGGTAGGTGGATGGGTGGGTGGATGGATGGATAGACATATGGATGGATAAGCAGGTGGGTGGGTATGTGGGTGAGTAGGTAGGTAGGTGGGTGAGTGGATGAATGGATGAATGAATGAATGAATGGGTAGATGGATAAATTAACAGATATATGAACAAACGAGCAAGTGAATGAATGAGCAGTAAGCTAACCCATCAGATCCAGGGCCTAATTTTCATCATCTTGAACCTTCTGCAATGTCACAGGGCCAGGCCCACAGCAGCCTTCAGGAAGCACCTGAATGCCATCAGGGAGGACCTCCCTTAAGAGGAAGGTCCTGCAAATCTGGATTCTAGTAGGATGGGTCTTCCCTCACTGTCCTGGGGCTGTGGCGAGGAGCAGGCAAGATCGAGAGAGGTCCTGGGATTGAATTACTTTGAGAAGCTCTTCATATTATGGTGGGACCTCTCCAAGTGGGAAAGATACAGAGTCAAGAGTCAAGACTTTAGAGGAAGGCCCATGACACCTCCAAGACTCTCTATCAGCCTGGGGCCTCTCCCACCACACTCCTAAGCCAAGCCCTGAGCAAGCAGCTGCATGAAGTCACATCTGAGAAACACGTTTCATACTGAGGGTGTTTACATTAAGCTCCACTCCAATCAGCCCTGGCCTGGTACCTGCAAGCAGAGCAGCAACAGCCAGTTATCTACCCATGTGGAGACCTGGAACCACAGGTGAGCAGCAGAAGGGAACTGGATCTGGGCTCCTTGGACAAGCTCAGGGCTAGGCAGCATCTCTAAGATTCAGGTTCAGCTAACACTCATGAGCACAATCCTCACAGTGACCCAGAGAGGGGAAACTGAGGCTTTGAGAAACAAAATTATTTGCCCAAGCTCATCTGAGCAGGACTCAAACCCAGGTCAGTCAGACTCTGCTGCCTATGTTCACTGAGGTCCAGGTGACCTACTAGTTCCTCATAGGAGGAGAACACCATGTGCCTCTGACTCTTGACCTATCCAGCCCTAGTGCCTACCTGGTTCCATCCTTTCAGAGTTCCTCCTTAACTTTATCTTGAACTAGACTCTAAGTCCTCATGTTAGGCCAACCCAGCATGTGGCATTTCCCTGGACTGGACTTAGTCTCTGATCCTGCTTTGGCCAGGCAATGCTAGCCAGTTCTTCTGTCTTGGTTAATTCACTCTGACCTGGCCTGGTCCAACCTCCATTTGCCTGTCCTGCCCCCATCCTCCTGGGCCTACTACAACATTCAGAAAACTCTGTGCCCCAAGTGCTGAGCTTCTCTCCTAGGAGCCCCTCAACCATGTAGCCTGTGGATGATGAGCATCTCACTCTCTGCACAGATTCCTAATATCTTGCATCACAGTGACAGAAATTTGGATTGTTCAGACTAGGGCTAATTGGGGTCAGGATTAAGTCCAGGGCACCAGGAAGCTCAGAGAGTGGGAATTGGCAGAGCCAAGGCATCCAGTCTTGGCTATGCCAAAGACTGGCCACATGGCTAGGGCAAGGTTCTGGTCCTCGGCTTCCTCCTCTAGCCCACTGAAACATGACGGAGACCATGGTGGGACCTCTCCAAGTGCTGACAACCTGCCAGGCACTGTTTTTAGCTCCTGACAAGTACCACATCACCTATCCTCAGACTGACTGAGGTATAGCATGTATCTTCAGAGAGAGGCAATAACTAGGCTTATAGCAGGGGCACAACATGCTGGAGGTAAGTAATGGGGCTGGGATTATTTCTAGGTCAGCCTGACTCCAGAGGCCACAAATTTAACCTCAATACTAGGACTGCCTACACCACAGTAACTGTCCCAGACATGCCCAAAGGTACCCCAGTTGGACCACAGGTTGGAGAAAAGGCTGGGGGTTCCAGAACCTTCCTGGCATTTGTCCCTGGTCAGTCAAGGCTAAACCTGTGGACAATGCAGAGGAAGCCCTCCAAGACTTTCACAGTACCCAATGCATGGCTGCAAGGCCTACTAAGGCAAGTATGCCTATGAACTTGTACACCCTGGTCAGGCTCCCACAGGCCCTACCAGTGGAAAGAAAGCTAATGGCCACAAGTCCACAGCCATGGCTATCTGGCTACAGTCACAACGACTGGACATAGCAACTGGAACAGTGACCACAAGCACAGGAAAGGTGGGAGAGAGAAGCTACCGGGAAAATGGAGGGCTGGAAGCTCCCAAAGTGGCTGAGCTGACTCCAGGACAGGAGCAAACACAGGATCCAACTTACACTGGCACCTGGGGCTCACTGGGGCTCTATGCTCTCACACACACTACCTACAGTTGCTCAGGGACAGGCTCTGGCAGCGACACTTGGGTGAAAGGCACAGGCCCAACAGCCCTCAAATGGTTCTAAGGGTGGTGAAGGGGTGGCCAACAAATAATCCCATTATTCATTCATTCAATCATTTGTTAGTGCCTCTTTGGGGCCAAGCACAGGGACTGGCATTGAGAATGCAGAAGTATAAAAGACAGGTCTGGCCTGAAGGGGCTGATCAGCCAAGTAGGAAAATATTAGTACATTCTCTGTGCCTGGTTATGTATTGTGCACTGGGAACATAGGAATGGCATAGGTGAGAGAGATGGAGGATGGATTGGGGAAGGGAAGGAATGGGTGACTGAAAGTCTTGCTAGGTGGTTGAAGGGTGAATATATGAGCAAGTGATAGATGACGTATGGATGGATCAATGAATGGATAGATGACTGAATGAGTACATGGGTGTGTGCATGGGTGGGGGAGATGAGGAGATGAAAGGAAGAATTGTAAAACTGATAGATGAATGGACAGATAGATGGACTAATGGGTTGAGGGACAGTTGGAGAATGGATGAGGTGAATGGATGGGTAAAAGAGTAGACTGGTGAGTAGAAGGACTGATGGGGATAAAGATACATGGACCTGTAGGTGAATGAACAAATGGGAAGGAAAGTAGATGGGTGGATGAATGAATGAGTGGGTGGATAGATGAGGGGGCAGGGGATGAATGAGGAAAGGGAGATGGTTAAAAGGACAAATAAGTGCATTGGTAGGAAGATATATGGGTACGCAGGTAGACAGAGATGGGAGGGTGGGTGAGTGGATAGTGGAAAACAGAAGGGTGATGAGTGGTAGGTAGTGGTTAGATGGGTGGATCAATGAGTAGAAAATTGGTTAAGATCACCATCTCAGAAATAGTAGGGCAGAGTTAATAGAGGCCAAAGAAGAATGCCATCTAGACTAGAACTTGTGTCTCAAGCCATAGATGATAGTGGACCTAGGTTCCTAAAGAAGGCCAGTGGGTACCCAGCCTTAGTTGAAAGTCCTATCAGTTCTGCCTCCCTCACCCAACTGCCCACACTCTCTGTCATGGGGGGGGGGCGGGCAGCACCTACCTCTTTGTGGTATAGCTGCAGGCTCCAGAGGCCTGCGGACCTCAGGCACAATGAGAGAGTCTTCCCCCTCACAGCAGGAGAGCATTACATGGTTGCATGGGTAGCCCAGATTGGGGTTGGACTCACACAACTGGCCCTCACCCCGTACACGAAGTCCCAAGCCACAGCAGTCACAGCATTGCTGGAGGGAGAGATTCAACCATCACAATCCACTCAATGTTCCTTGTTCTCTGATCTCAGAGCCCTCCTGACTGTTTCCTCTAAGGCCTATGAGCTTTTGTGCTCACTCAGCGTCCCTGGGTGCATTCTAGGGCCAGGCACAAGGGACAGACTGGTAAGTGAGATAGAATTAATCTGTGTCTTGTCTCTTCTGCCTATGTGCTCTCTGAGAAGAGAGAGATCCTTTTTCTTCACATCTCAGCAGAAAATAGGGCTAACACAAGTTTTTTGAAATAATAAAGGGTCCCTTGTAGGAAATCTATAAATTATTCCCCAGCTACATCCATTATCCCCTCATCTTTACTAACTGAACCCTGATTCTACCCTGGCCAGCAAAAAAGATAGCATTTGCCATTTTCCCCAGTTAGATATGTAAGTCAGTGAGTGGGACTTTCAGAATAGCTTTTAAACTGAGGCTGACTCAGACTGTAGCCTCATCCATGCTGTTCCCTCTTCCTCTTTCTTGGGACACCTATGTGATGGCCAGAGCTCCAACAGCCATCATGGGTCATGAATGATCTTAAAAATGGAAGCTATAAGCTAAAGATGATTGAGAAGAAAAATAAAAGAAGCCTGGGTCCCTGAAAATACCATTTTTATCTACTCTATTCCAGATGGCCTATTTCTAAAAAACAAATCTTTTAATGTTTAAATTATTGTGGTAGAGTAATTACAATAATTGCCTCAATTATTCACTACTCCATGTCCGTAGTCTTTGCAATGTGATATTGCTGTTCCTCTTATCAAAAGGTACAGCCTATTTCCCAACCTCTTAGTTGTGCCTTATAACTTGCTTTGGCTAAGAAGATGAAATAGAAGTGACAATGTGCCAGTTTTGAGCCTAGGCCTCAAAAGGCCCTGCATGCTTCTACAATCTCTCTTGAGAGCCTGCCCAACCTCTAAGTGCACAAGACTAGCCTGCTAGAGATTGACAGACTACATGGAGCAGAGATGAGTCATCTCAGGTGAGACCTCCTAAACCATCTAGCCCAACAAAGTCATCAACCAACTGTGGATACATACACAAGCCCAGCCAAGATCAGCTAAGCACAGCCCAGGTCAGTAGAAGTAAGTACACAGCTGACCCAAAGACTCATGACTAAGCCACTCACAAGCCATTAAGGTTGGGATGGTTTGTCACACAACAGTAGCTAACTGATACTCCAGATTTATATTCCAATAATGAACATGCCCATTTATTGAAGATCCATCATGTGCTTAATAAATGCTTAGTTTCTATTAGCTCTAATTCTCACAACCACCCCATAAGAGATGGAGTATTATCCTCATTTTAAAGATGGAGAACCTAAGGCTCAGGAAAGGGGATGATTGATCCAGGGGCAAACATAAATGGCTTTTAAACTTGTCACCAAACTCATTTCCCTAATACTAGTTGTTTTTAGGAGGAAACTGGCTCCAACATGACACGAATCTGACTCAAATCCTCTCCCCAACGCCACCCTTTAGAGTTCTCTCTCACAGTCACCCAGAGTTGAAACATGGTTGCCTTCTTCAATTCTTTCCCCTCCCCTTCCCAGTCAAACATCTGCAATGTTTCCTGAAACTGTCCCACTGCCCTCCTACACAGCCTCACTCTTGCTACAAAACAGTCTCCAATACCTGTTCTCCCTTCTTGATTCTCAGTGTAGCTCACGACCACCCAGAATCAAGACTACATTTCCCAGCCTCTCTTACAGCTAAGTGTGGCCACGACTAGGTTCTAGCCAATAAGATATAAGCAGATGTACAGTCTTTCTTCCTCGCCTTCCTTCTGCCTGCTGGTGGGAGCTCAAATTGCCATCTTGAATTATGAGGCAGCAAGTTAAAGTTGGTGGGCAATAAAAGAGCAGAAGCCTTCATCCCTGATGACCATGGAGCAGCTCCTCCAGCCTATGAGAAAAAAGCCAATGTACCTGCAGGGTTTCCAATACGTGCAGCCCAACTTACATCTACCTGTCTCTGACCCTGCTATCCATGTGCCACTCAGACACCAGCGTGGTCCTGCTGCACTTTAGACTTGCTGGGCCATACAGCCTCCCACATGTTCCTACTTCTGTGTGTTTGTGCATGCTGCACCCTCTGCCTGATTTCTCTGTCTGCTGCCATCTGGTGAAGTTATTTTGTCCCTATCCCACTGTCCATGTGGGAGAGTCCCCCTCAAGGACTGGTTCCCACAACTGCCAAGGAGAACATGACCATAACCCTCAAAATCATCTGTAGCTTCCACCCCACTCAGGGTAAAACCACAGTCCTTACAGATTAACAGGATCTGCTCTGTCATCTATCTGCTGCATCTCCTCATACATCCCTCATTCATTCACTCCACCACACACACCACTTCACTGTATCTCAGATATGCCGAGCACACCTCAGGACCTTTGCATATGCTGTTGCTTCTGTCTGGAAAATACTTCCCATGGTCGTCTATGAGGTTCACCCCTCTTCCTCCAGGGTTTTACCCCAAAGTCCCCTTCTCAATGAGGCTGGCCCCAGCCACTGTTATCTGACACTCTAAACACTGCCCAGTCCTGAGACTGCTTATCAGTTCTTCCTCTTCAACACTCCTCACCTTCTAACATATCATACATACACACATACATCACAGGTGCTCATCCTGATCTTTGTCTCCCTGGCTAGAAAGAAAGCCCCACAAGGGGAAAGGTTTTCATGTCTTTTATTCACTGCTGCATCCCTAAAGCCTAACACAGGGCACGGTACACACTGATACTCAATAAATATTCCTTAAGTTAATTGATCAATAATGACTGATGATGTTTTCTATGTAGATGATGAGTCCTTCCCCCACCAGGTGTGAGTATCACCACCACTGAGGAGCCCAAGCCCTCTGCCCTCAAAGACCTTCAGGCCCAGCCCAGCCTTGCTCCCCCATCTCAGGCTACAAACACTAGAATCTGGCTTGCCTTATACAGGGAGATGCCACAGGTGTCATTGTCCTCAGCCCCACAGGCCTCACCCTCCTTGGCCCCCAGGACACCAGCCATGCAGGTCTTCTCCTTCAAGTAGGAGATGCAGCAGTGCTTCTGAGCTATCCTGCAATAGAAGGCATGTTCAACCCCACCCAAGCACTCACCTACACAGGACATTGGCATTCCTCCCAGTGACCTGCTCCAGGAGGAATACAGGCTCCATTTCACAGAGAGGAAACTGAGGCTCCAAGAAGGGAAGTCCCCTCCTCAAGGTCACACACAGCAAGGAGGTACCAACTTGGTGGCTAGGGAATCAGCAGAGGTTGGCAAACACTGCTAAGCCAGATGGGTTTCATGTCTTGGCTAAGCAAAGAAGACTCAGACCCAAGTCCTGCTGGACACAGTGCAATGTGACCCTAACCAATGAGGGAGGGGGGTTGGCCCACAGAGCTCCCTACAGGATCAAGAAGGACTTGGAGAATCAACCCCAGGAAGGACTATAGCCTCAAATTAGTAGGACAGCAGAAGAGAGAAGAAAGAGACAAATCAGAATTTAAGTGTTTTCTAAAGACAGGGTGGGTTGGATGTTAGGAAACATGAGTTCTAATCCTGGCCATGCTGCTGTGTGGCTTTGGGTGAATCATGTCACTTCTCTGAACCCTGTCTTCCTTATCTGGTAAAATGAGTAGGTTGGAAATATGGTGTACCTGGAGAAAAGAGGGTAAATGACTGACAAGCTCTCTTCTGGGAGCTGGCAGAGAGAGGCCATGGGTATAAATGATGGCTTTGCTGTGGACTCCAGAATCAGAGGGATAATTAGCACAGGCAGCAGAGCAGGGTGGTAAGAGGCCAGCCTTTTGGAGGACCAGGGTAGCAATGGGAAGAAAGAAAGCAGAGGCCTCCAGCTCAAAGCTGAGGAAAGAAACCATTATGGGCCATGCTTTGCACAGCAGCAATCACAGTGTGTGGTACAAGAAGCATCTATGTATTCCTAGGCAGGAATAGACCTTTAAATCTTACTCAAACTGTATACCCCTTTGATAGAGCTCAGTAGGCCAGCTACTAAGGAGCTATAGTGGCATAGTCGGTAAGGTATTTGGCTGCTAACCACAAGGTCAGCAGCTGCTCCATGGGAGGAAGATGAAGCAATCTACTTCCATAAAGATTTACAGCTTTGAAAGCCCAATGGAGGTCAGTGAGTCAGAATCAACTTCATGCCAGTAGATGTGGAGTACATTAGGCCAGCTACTAACTCATGTGGTTCATTTATTCTTGGGATCAGTCTTGGGATACCAGGATGACCCACAGCAGTCACATGCAAGTGCCCATGTGCATGTACAAGGCAGGCACAGCAGGGATCTGGAGGGTCCCACATACCTGCAGATGTCACCCTCTGTGCCACTCTCAGGGATGTCCATGCATTCATCACTATCGATGGCCCACTGCTGCCCAGCTGCACAGCATGTCTCAATCAGGTCCCTGGTGGAGACTAGGGGTGGTAACATGGAACAAAGTCACCAGTTAGTGAAGGGTGTGGTTCTAAGGAGTCTAGAGTCACTGACGGCAGGAAATGCTACAGGGCCCATTCAGATCCCTTTTACCGGGCAGGGACTCACTCTACCTTCTCCCTGTCTCCCTATCATCATGCACCTTAGTTGCTTACAGTTTATAACTGTAGCCCTCTTCAGAAAACTACCTGGGAGGGTTCAGTACTCCCATGGGGGGTAGGTATCGGGGAAGTGTAGCCAATAGCTGACACACATGGGGGGTGCATGAATCCAGCCACTTCTCTCAAAGGAGACAGCTCTGTGGTGCCATCACACTCTAGACCTCCCTGTGGTCTCAGACTGAGACTGGACTGAAGCTGACTCAGCTCTGTCCAGCTCCTTCCCTGTCCCATACTGACAGGGCTCCCCAAACGAATCACATACACAAGAATTCCCCACTCAGGATTCTAGGAGCCTAGCCTGAGATACCAAGACAGGGTGAGAGATAAGAAAACACAAAAATAATGAGGGGAAGTTTAAACTCACTAGGACTACATCTATGACAGGGACAAGTGGGGTTGTTGACGATAGGGAGAATTTAAAGGCACAGACCACAGGTTTAAAAACAGATGAATTTGAGTACTTCAAAATTACAATTTTCTGTATAACAAAGAATTCCATGGACATGACTGCTGACAGGTTAGAAGACAATTTTGGAATGTCTAAAACCTGACAAGGAATTATTGCTATTTAGAAAATATAATAAACTGAACAAGAAAATGATCAATCTCAGAGTATAATAGGTAAAGAAGCTCCCCTTAGGTAAAAGAATAGGACTTGAGAATTGACAGAAAAAAACTCAAAGCGCATACAGAAACATACTTAAACTCATCTTTTCAGAAAAAATGAAAACAAATTAAAATATAAATTAACACAACAATAAAATATCACTTTATACTAATTAAACTGGAAAACATTAGAAAGCAGGATAAATGCCGAGCCCAGTGGAGCACTCATGCCCTGGGCTTGAGAGCAGAGAGGAGAGCAGCCATTCTGGAGGGTGATCTGATACCACTCACACAATCAAGTATACTCATGGTCGTGCATCCCACAGGTCCCTCCAGGGCACAGATCCTGGAGAAAGCCACACCAGGTCCATATGGTAAAGGTACAAGGATGCCCATTTCAGTGTTATTTGTGGAGGAGGGTTGGAGGCAGCCTGGGTGTCCATTACAGGAGGCATGTGGATGGGTGGGTAAGATTTGGGCATGCCCTCCATTGAGGGCTCTGTAGCAATCAGAAATAACAGACCATATGCACATGCAGTAACATGAAGCTGGACACATGCACACACAGCAATGTGGAGCAATGTAGAGTGCTCAGGCAAAGAGAAAAAAAAACACATAAGATCCATTAAATAAATTAAGAATATCATGCACAAACAGTATGCCTTTTACAAGAACACATAAGAACAAATAAACAAACAAAAAATCCAAAGTAAATAGAAACTTGGCTATGGGGTGAAGGGGAGGGGACAGGAATAGGAACCCAGGAAGAAGAATAGAGGAAGGGGATAAAGGGAATCAAATGTATAAATTAAGCAAGAAAAGGCCTTGCAAAAACCATAGTAAGGTGCTAGGACATGAGGAGGATAATTAACTCTAACATTTGCCCCTGATGTCTGCAAGTGAATTACATTCATAAATAAAGAATACATGAACCTCCTCTAGAACATCTACCTACGTGCTGAGGGCAAGAGGGTGTAGTGGGAACATTTTGGAGCCAAAGAGGCCTGGATCCAAATCTCATTGCAACCCTTCACAGCCATGTGAGCTTAAGTGGGTCATTTCTCCCTAAAAGACTCAGTGTCCTTCTTGATTATGATGATTTAACGCCTAAAACAGGTGAGCAATCCATGTAACCTGCCAGGGTTGAAGGAGAGATGGACCAATGGATGTCGGGAGCCTGCAGGGCTCCAGGAACAGAATGAGAGCTCACTAAATATCATCAGCTTCCTCTGCTTGTGGACTTGGCAAGTCACTGAGCTTTTCTAAATTTCAACTGCCCTCCTGTAAAACAGAGAAAACAAGTGTTAGTAACAACCTGAGGACTATTCTGAGGCACCATGAAGAATGAACAGAATCCTTGATAACAGGTGTCTACCAGACACAAGTAGCAAATATCATACTAAATGGTAAAACATTAGACACATCCTCCACTGAAGTCAGAAACACGAAAAAAATGCCCACTGGCACTGCTACTGTTTAGTACTGTCCTAGAGATTGATAGTAGCAAATGAAATAAAACAAGAAAAAAAAAGAACAGCCATTAGAAGAGAAGAGAGAGCAGCCATTACTTCAGATGTTATGGTTTCATCTTGCTAGAAAACCAAAAGGAATCAAAATTAGCAAAGTACTGAAATTAATAGTAATAAATAATAAAAAAATTGATATGGTGGCCAACAATAAAATCAACATAATAAAATTAGTGGTTTTCCTATACATTAGCAACAATTAAACAGAAATGATAGTAGAAAAAAAATCCTATTCAAAACAGAAAGAAGTCTAGAAATCTATTGTAAACATGCCACATAACTACATGAAAAAAAGTTTTTAATTTGTCTAATAGGAGCTCTGGTCGCATAGTGCCTAAGGCATTTGACTGCTAACCAGAAGGCTGGTGGTTCAAACCCATCAGCCATTCCTCGAAAGGAAGATTGGGCAATCTACTTCTGTCGTGATAATGCCCCAAAAACCCAAGGAGGGGTCCCTATGAGTCAGATTTGACTTGACAGCAGTAAGTTTTTGAGTAGTGAGAATGGATATAATAAGGAGCTCTGGTGGTGTAATAGTTAAGGCATTTGGCTGCTAACCAAAAGTTCTGTGGTTCAAACCCACCAGCTGCTCTGCAGAAGAAAGCCAAGGCAGTCTTCTTCTGTAAAGATTTACTGCTTAGGAAACCAAATGAGGGTTGCTATGAGTCAGAATCAACTTGATGGCAGTGAGTTTGGTTTTTAGTTTTAACAGCTATAATGTCAGACTTGATTAGAAACATATACTTATCTGGATGGGAATATTCAATACCTTAAAGATGTCAATTATCTATTTAATCTATAATTTTAATGCAATCCGAATCAAAATCCCAACATGATTTGTCATAGAATTTGACAAACTGATTCTAAAATTCACTTAGAAAAGGAAATGTTTAAAAGTGCCCAAGAAATTTCTTTAAAAGAAGAAGAAGAAAGGCTGGCCTTCACCTAGTAGATATCAAACATACTATAAAGTTCTAATAATTAAAACATAAAGGCAAGGAGATCAAAGAATGTAACACAAACTCAGTAAGGAAAGGACAGACTATTTAGTATATGATTTTGAGAAATTGGTTATTCATTTGGAAAAAAAGGTAGCCAAATTCCTACTTCATATCATACACAAAAATAAATTCCAGATGAATTCAAGCTGAACCTTAAAAACAAATCTCATTTGGAAAAGAATAGCAAGCACAGTCACACAACTTGAAGAATGTAATCATTGTATATGTAGAAACTGTTGAGATTATATGTTTTATTATGTATATTTTCACAATTAAACTATCTATAAATGTGGTATTAGAAGAAATTATAAGAAAATAACTTTATGATAAAGAAAGATTTCCTAAGAAATAAAGTCCACAAAGGAAAACTTTAACACTACTGACTATAAAAAATGTGGAATTCCTTCAAAAGTTGGAAATACAAATACCATTTGACCCAGCCATCCCATTACTAGGTATATACCCTAAAGAAGTGAGAGCCATAACAAGAACAGATATATGCACGCCGATGTTCATTGCAGCACTATTTACAATAGTCAAAACTTGGAAACAACCTAGATGTCCAACAACTGAGGAATGGATAACCAAACTTTGGTACATTCACACAATGGAATACTATGCAGCGCTAAAGAATAATGTAGAACCTGCAAAACACCGCATAATGTGGATGAACTTGGAGGACATTATGCTGAGCGAAATAAGTCAGTCACAAAAGGACAAATATTGTATTAGTCCGTTATTGTAAAAGTTAAGGGAAGGTTTATACATTGGAGGACATTTTCTTTGTTGGTTACCAGGGATGGGAGGGGAGGGGAGGGAATGCTGTTAGATAGATAGAGATAAATATTGATTTGGGTGAATAGAAGGGCAATGTACCAAATGTGAGTGACCAATATGGCAGCATTGAGGATGAGAAAGACAGAGAGAGTTACATGGGCAGTACAGACAACAAATATGAACCCCTTTGCATATACAGTACTGAGTTGTCAGTGAAAGCAAACATGGGTATAGGGACGGATAGATGGGTGAACAAACTAAACAATTAGGTATGTCTAAATGGAGAGTGTATCCAAGATCATATATAGGGTTGGCAGACAATGGGCCTATAAGTTCATGTGAATGATCAGAATTCCCAGGTGTATAGTAGAGCTGACAAGGGGCAAGGTTATGGTCATTACTTGGTCACAGCCAGCTACCCAGAGGGACCGAGTAGTTGATCCTGCGGGCTTGGGACCATAGTCGCAGGGGACATCAAGCTCAATTGGCATAACATACTATACAAAACATTGTTCCACCTACTACTTTGGCGAGTAGCGACTGGGACCTTAAAAGCTAGGAAGCTGCCATCTAGATGCAACAACGGGTCTCTCCTCGTCAAGAATAAAGAAGAAAAGCAAAATTAATGGAAACAATCAGTCCTAGCGACTAGTACACCATCCGATCTGCAACCTATACAACTATGAGACCAGAAGAACTAGATGGTGCCCAGCTACCACTGCCATCCATTTGGAAGGGATGAAGGAGATCCTGCATAAAGAGGGAGAACGATGTGGTACAAAACTCAAAATCGTTTGGAGGCAAAAAAAAAAAAAAAGAAGGTGGGGACCAGGTTTGCTGGTCCAATAGAGCCTGGTGTAACCACTGAGACTATGGCCCCTAGTTGCCCTTCAGGTCTGGAATTGAACCC